CACTTGAAAGTTGCACATTATAAGACTAAAATTGAATGGGCTATAAAATTGTGGCCTCGAAAAAGTTTTAACACTTCTGAGAAAACCCTTTGAAATTTGGGTGAAAACTTTTTGCATTATTTTGTAGTTTTTTAGAAAGTTTTAAACTTGGGTTACTATCATGATTCAATAAAACAAGGTTGTGTAATTTGTGACAGCTAAAATTTGACACTCCTTTATCTCGATTTGTATTTTGGAAGTAGGAGAAAGGGGGAATGTGATCGCCTTTTGCGAAAACGGTAGTAGAAAGGTACTATAAAAAGTACGCAAAGTATACAATAAGAAGTAAAGAAGTGTACAATAAGAAGTAAAGGTGTATTATTAATTCTATGCGAATTTGCAATATATTTGGTGTTATAGTGGAAATACTAAACAATACATAAAAATATGCATTTTTGATTTCAGTTATTCGTCATTTGCTGGAAGAAATCTAGAATACCGACCGTTCAGCTATGCAAAAATGAAAAATGCAGATCAATAGAACTTTTTATGTTCATTTCCACCATGCCAAAATTATTTGGCGAAAGTGAAAAATGAAGACTTTCTAGAAGGTTAAAATTCTGTTTTTAGATTTTTTAAATATTAATATCTTATGAACTATTTAACCGATTAAAAATTTAATGACGTCACCACCAAGATAATTGATTTGTCTTTCAGCTGATGCACATAATTTATAGCTTTTTGTATTTTTAAACCAAAACCACTAAAAAACGAACAAATGTTATTTTTGATGAAATAACCTTTTTTGAAAAAAACTGCATAATTAATGGTAAAGAAATTAATATTATTTAGAAAGTACAAGTTATTACCTTTAATTCGATATTACATATTTTGTCACTATCTACTTTTGGGAAACCCGACAACCCTAACCGCTTTGTCCTTGTGGACCAACCCAACAGAAGCTGCACGCTTCCTAGGGCTGCCGTTAGTGGAACTTGACGACAACGACTGAGATACCAACCGATCTGGGCGAGGTTGTTGTAGCCGCTACAACAACAACAACAACAGTAGTGACCGCGAACTACATGTCGACGAACTAGCCGCCACCGAGAAGTGTATATGCCGCATGGAGCAAAAAGAAGCGTATCAACATGAAATCGATTTGCTGCGAAAGAAGTCACCGTTGCCAAAAAGTTCCAGTATTTATCAACTGACACCATACTTAGATGAAGAAGGTTTATTAAGGGTTTATGGGAGGATAGACGCAGCTTATTGCCTGCCGATAACAGCACGCAGACTAATCATCTTGCCAACAAAAAGTAACGACACGAGACTAGTAGTAGCCACGCCGCACCAAAAGAGACACCACCAAAACGACAACCTTACAATGAATGAGGTACGCCAACGGTTTTGGGTTCCCGCCATACGCAACGTCTTGAGGACCGTCAAAAAGCAGTGCCCTGTCTGCATACACGACAGAGCTAAGCCCGCCGTAAAGTTGATGGGTCAGTTGCCGCTGGATCGACTAACACCATATGTTCGACCTTTTACGTACAGCGGAGTAGACTACTGCGGCCCATTTCACGTTACCATCGGTCGCAGAACGGAAAAAAGGTGGATCGCATTGTTCACGTGCCTTACTACGCGAGCAGTCCATATCGAGCTATCAGAAAACCTGTCAACCGACGCATTTATCATTTGTCTTCGCAACTTCGTGAATCGCCGCGGGGTGCCCACACGCATTCGGAGTGATAACGGCACCAATTTCATCGGTGCCCAGAAGGAGATGAGAGAAGCTGACCGAATGTTCGGTTCCACCGTCATCGGAAGCGAAATGTCCAAACAGCGTATCGATTGGGTGTTTAACTGCCCCGCAGATCTCAGCAGTGGCGGTTGTTGGGAACGCCTCATATAATGCACTAAGCGAATCCTGCACAAAGTTTTCAAAGAGGAGGCACCGAGGTTGGAGACGTTCCGTAGTGTCCTCATTGAAATAGAAAATATCGTAAATAGCCGCCCATTGACCGATCTGCCAGTCACGCCAGAAGAGGAAGAACCTCTCACACCCAACCATTTCCTAGTGGGTTGCTTGAACTCTACGTAAACGCCACATCCGGAAGAGAACCGCCTATGCCTCCGAAAACAGTGGAGGATAGCCAGAATTTGAAGGACCGTGCATGGAAAAGGTGGACGGTAAAATATTTGCCTCGACTTCTATGTCGCTCGAAGTGGAGAGACGACGCAGATGCGCTTAAGCCAGGAACACTTGTTATAATATGTGACCCCTCAGCACCACGAAGTCATTGAGAGAAAGGGCGAATTACTGAAGTTTTCAAAGGAAATGATGGCCGAGTCCGAAGTGCCAACATCTACACCTCGCATGGAGTCATACGTCGACCGGCGAAAAAGCTAGCCGCTTTGGGTTTTTGCGAATCCCCCGAAGATCCGCCAGGAGGTGGGATGTCGATATCTGGGTAGTGTAACCGCACCCTAAATTCGCCATCGTGCAATCATATGGCAACCCCAGTCAGTAACAATCGCAGCCAACGTGAATCTTTTCATTCGTCGATTTGGATAAGAGAAGAAAGATGGCGGGCAGCGAATATACAAGTTTTAGTATCTCTTCAGTATCTCGGTTTTAGTATTTTTAATCAATTGAAAGTCCAACTTTGTATTTGCCTTTATCTTGTATTTTGTAATTTGTTAAACGTATGACAACAAACGCTTATGTGACTTGTCGTCGGCAACAGCTACACTATGTTATATCATTATATGTATATGTATATCAGTTTAAGCACATACGATAAAAAGTAAAAAAAAAAAAAATATTTTTGAATGCGGATTCGAAAGAAATATACCCACAGTATTGGCCAATACAGTAGCACCCCTATTTCAAAGTGATATTGTTTGCCACTCATGTTTACTTACTTATTTTTAGAAATTTCAATTAAAATACAGTTCATTCTCAAACAAAACTCACATAAACCCAAGTTTTAAACCTTTTAAAAGACTACAAAAAATGCAACAAATTTTCAGCCAAATTGCAAACTTTTTTCTCAGAAGTGCTAGAATTTTTTTGAGTACACCGCTTTATAACCCATTCAATTTTAGTCTAATAATGAAGTATTCAAGTGGCTAAAAATTACGGATGTTTTTTTAGCCGAAGTTTTTGCGGGTTTCTTCCATATAAAAATAAATTGTGTTTTTTCGTATATGGAAGCAAATGCGACAAAATATATTCTAAACAAATCAACGGTAATTTTTAGTCACTTGAAAGTTGCACATTATAAGACTAAAATTGAATGGGCTATAAAATTGTGGCCTCGAAAAAGTTTTAACACTTCTGAGAAAACCCTTTGAAATTTGGGTGAAAACTTTTTGCATTATTTTGTAGTTTTTTAGAAAGTTTTAAACTTGGGTTACTATCATGATTCAATAAAACAAGGTTGTGTAATTTGTGACAGCTAAAATTTGACACTCCTTTATCTCGATTTGTATTTTGGAAGTAGGAGAAAGGGGG